AGTGGAAGTTTTATAGCCAAGATTTAGTGAATGCCCCCTTACATTCTGAATGCCAACTACTGCTTAGGTTTAATCACTAAATACAACATTATCTACTGATAATATTTTAAAAAAGTATAACCCAAAAATGTCTGAAGGACAACTCTTCAGATTTGCCAAGTATAGGTCCATATTACAAACCAAACTTAATTTCAAAAGGAATTTACTTTTTATTTATTAGCAAGGTTATGGCAGTGCAGAAAAGTTTGCCAGATTAATATAAATGGCAACATCCCAACTACTGAAATGAGTGAATTTGAGGGTTACTCCAATACTCTAACACAGGATAAGCAAGTAAAGCAAGTACATGCCTTTGCATAAACTAAGCAATATTTTAATTTAGGCAAATATTTCTTTAGCATTCACTGTTGGTTAAAAGTAGACTTTCATTTTAAATAGTCTGTAACACATAATCCACATAGGTGCAGCTGAAGACCCTTTATTAGTAATTTACTGCAATTGTGTAAAACTATTCTCATATCAACAATAACTTGCTGAAGCACAGAAATTACTTTTTTGAACAAAAAAGGATTTTCCTTACCAAATGTACTATTTTCTTAAATTTGACTCTTTATAAGGATTGTTCTTAAGTATATAACCTCATTTTATCCTCTAACAACCCAAGTGACATTATCTAGTATTAAAACACAGGAGGAGCCTGTATTCCCCATAGTAATACAGCTACTCACAAAGTGAGCCATCTAACTCCAGCAGTCAGGTTCAAGAGTCTGTATTCATCACTTCTCTTCAGCTTGTTTTTAGCACATTAATTTGAACTCACATTTTTGGGTTCTTAAAAAGTCAACCTATTTTACCTCAATAAATATAAATTGGAAAAAAAAGAAAGAAAAATATTGGGCAACCCCTAACTTAGTAACATTCTATAATAGTACTGACCAGTTTAAAAAAAATAAAGACGGACTCTTCAAACTGTCAGGGTCCTCAAAAAACAAAAAAAAGTCTAAAAGACAGTCACAGTTAAGGGGACCCAAGATAACAGGATAACTAAATGTAATGAAGTGGTCTGGGAAGATCCTGGGATAGCTATAAGGACTTAAGAAATAACTAAGGAAATCTGTAAAATTATAGGTGTTAGTTAATAATCTACCAATGTTGATTCATTATTTGTGACAAATATGACATATAAACGTAAGACATTAATAATCAGGGAAATCAGGTTGAGGTATATGGGAACTCTGTAGTATCAAAACAATTTTTTGACAGTCTTAAAATATTCTAAAACAATATATATATATATATATATATATATATATATATATATATATTAGAGATAAAAGAAATGTACCTGTAAAAAAAAAAAACAAACATAACTTGCTGCTGGATAAAATCTTCTGAAAGAAGAAAAATGTTCCATTATTATTTTATTTAAACCACTCTCCAACAACTTTAAAAGGTTTTTTATGTTTCTCTGTAATTAAGAGCAAGTATAAGCTGTTTGCCAATCATGCCAGTGGGTTCTTTAGAGAGTGTAAATTAGACACTAAGAAAAAAGTATCAATGTATTTAGTGTTGTCACTCAGACATTCTAAGTCTCTAATACTTACAAAAAGTTACTCTGTGGCAGAATTTACCACATGTATTTTCACTTGAAAACAAATATTCAAATCAAGGAAGCCTTTTTCTCATTATTCATATACAACTGGCTCTCCAGTACTACTGTAGAAGACTGGGAAGGAAAAATATGTGGCGTTTTTATCACTGGCAATTATCCCAGGAAGGCAACAACATAAACTGAAATGTATAGTACAAAAAAACAATTCAATTTCTATACACTTTATATACTCTCAAATGCCTATACATCATTTCCTTTGAGAAAATTTGGAAGACTTTGCATTGTTCATTCATACTTTTCTCATATGTGTATATTGAAAGTCTTCTCTGTATCTTCACTTAGAAGAAATGTACATTCAGGAAATTTATCTTCAAGAGTGAATGATAGGATAATGGAGAACTGAGAGGGTAGAACATGTCACAGTGGAGCGAGAATGGGGCTATGGAAAATGTTAAAATGCAGGTATTACTATTTACTGGCTGGGGGTTCTTAATGAAGTTATAATGAAGCTCTATGCACATTATTTTCCTTAGTTTTAAAATGAAAGTGGTACTACTTTGAAGGCTTGTTAAAATTAAATGAGTTTATCTAAAGGGTCTATCAGTCTCTACTATCCAATAGGTGCTCAGGGCCAGTTACTGTTTTCACAGCAATTAAAATTTATGAGTATCAATAGCAGGAGTATAAAGGACTAGGGGAGAAAATAATAATAATAATGAACAACTATACACCAGAGACATTTTACAGGGGTGGAATGGGAAATGGGATCAAAATCAGTGGGAGGGAGGGCAGTGCACTGGACTATGATTATGGCACATGGGCAATTTGATGATGGGAAGTCCCCAGGAATTACAACTGAGATGGAAAAGGCACAAAACGATGTAAAAATAAACTATTATTTAAAAATATATAAGTTATCAGTAAAAGAAATAAGAATTACAATAAGTTATATATAAAAAAGGAAGATAAAATTTTAAGGAAAATGAGTATATTAATTCATAGGAAGGATCAGGAAGGAAGTAAGTGGCCACTAAAAGCAAAATGATTAAAAAAAAAAATAAAACAAAGCAAAAGAAAAAACACCAGGAAGGAAGAACATTATAAATAAAGGTTAGGGAGAATGGAAATCTTAGGACAAATGGGGGCTAAAGCAAAACTCTCTGAACTAAGGCTAAAATTTAGGAAAATAAAAAAAAAGGAAGACACATATGACCTGTCGATCTGGCTTTCAATGCCAGGAGACAGAATGATTCCTGAAAGTCATAGGTCAACTGTGAAAGCTTAATTTTGTCAATTGTAAGACAGAATAGTTTATTTTTATATGTGTGTAAACACAATTTGAAAGGTAGTAACACAAAGAATTCACAACCATTTAAAGCTATTTTAGTTACATTCTAAAAGCTAGAGTATACTACTAAAATGCATTGGTGAAAAAAGATAGAAACATGGAATAAGTGTTACTTTTATAGGGTGGACTCTTCTTTTAAATCAATCATAGTTTACATATCAGAGATAATATATACATTCAAAAAATGAATTCATAAAATAAAAAATATACTTTTAATAAAGCAGAAATCAGGCTTATTTGTAAAGATAATGCTTAAAACAAAAAATAAGTCATTTTTCTTTAAAAAGTTTTTAAAAAATAAATGGAAAAAAATTTCTAACTTCACTGAATGTACTTTAAATGTTAAGCTTTTGTTCAAAGATTGAGTCAAAAACAAATATACCATTCCCCAACTTCCAAAAAGAATTAGTAGTAAAAAAAGAACAACAACAAAAAAAAACATAAAAAGGAAATAAGTTAACAAATAAAATTACAAAATGTGATAATTTCATAAGAGAAAGTTTATAATGAAATTATGTATTTTCCAGCAGATACTAGAATCTGTTTTTGAAATGTTAAAATATATCAAGTCATTGAAATATTTTAGCTCTATCCAAGCACAGAGGAGAAAAATTAAACTATAATTTTAGAGTTGGAATATTTGTTATAATTTCAGTGACTGATCATTTAAACATGTAGAAAAGTTTTCAATTTATTTCATTTTTCAAAACTGAAATCTTTCACAAAATTAGAATGGGAAATATAGTTTACAAAGACTATCAAGTGCTTAAATGTCACAAAATTCAAAGAGTAGTAACTTTTAACTTTCGCTATACTGAAAATCTAAAATCATCCTTCTTAAAAGACTACTGAAATTAAATCCTATTTTTGTCTTTCAGTATCATTTTCATATTCTAGTTAATATTCAATAATTTGAATAGGAATATGCATAACATAGGATGGGTGAGATCCTATTACTGTAAATAATTTTTGAAAACTCCCCCATGTGATTGATACAAACTGCACAGGTTATGTTTTTAAAAAATACATTATTTCAAGAAGATGAGCATACAAAGTAGATATAGGTAATTATCTAAAGACAGCAGCTGATCAGCACATACATACTTTTAAAGACTCTTACCAATAATTCTTCAGAAATATAAGAGCCATTAGATGGGAACTACTAACTGGGAAGTCAGTTTAGAAAGGGAATAACTCAATCACATTCGTTCAATTCCTGGTAGTTTGATAGAGTCTACACATTAATCCTGGAAGGTAGACAGTGAAGAAAAATAATTTGCATTCTACAATTGTGATAAAAGTCTAGAGAGATAAGGAAGTGGGTCAAGAATACACAGCTTAATGATGGTGGAATTCCTATTAGATAATAGGTCTTCTTACTAAGACAATGCTGTTTACACATTACAACATAGTTTCTGTTCATAGAAAGATCAGACTACAGATTTAACCAATGTTTCAGAGAGAAATTATAATTCTTTATTTGATTTATACTTTTTGAACCACCTAAACCTTGCCTACAATTATACAGAATGATAATTTTAGGGTATTACAACAAAATTAGCTAGGCTATGTTAAATAGATAAGCCTAATAGGAAAATTATTAACTAGGAAGATAATTTCTAAATATTATAAAATTTTTAAGTTCTAATATTTTTAAACTTTGTAGTTGTCATTTCTAAACTAATTAATCTTGTAAATTTGTCTGATATATATCTTAATGACTTTAACATTAAAATCATGTAGGTATTCTAAAATGCATTAATCCATCCCATTAATTAGTAAAGAGGACAGTATTCCAAGAGTAGAGTGATGAATAAGTTGATATACTAAAAACTGTGGAAAATGTGATGGAAGCTCCCTAAAATAACTAGAACTAGTTGAACTGCAGATGGAACATGTTTTAAATAACATGTTTTTGGATTTTAAAAAAATGTTATGGTATTTTTTTGAAGTGTGATATTAAAGTGATGTTTCTTTTTTCTCCCCATTCCAAAGAACCACACAAAACCAAATTAAAATAGTAATGTAAAAAATGCTTACAGGTTTGTATCTCAGAGCATCTCTGTAGGATCCAAACAAAGCAGCCTGTGCCCTAAGAAAGGCCCTGGCTACACCATCACCAGTAGCTGTAGACTGCTTCTTCAGTTTATTTTTCAGGGCCGAGACCTGCATGACAGAGAGGAACAGTTAAATTAACACCTCAGAAATTGGTACAGCGAGGTACGAACCCAATCAGCAGGCAAACCACAGTGTCTGCAGGTCAGCCAAAAACTCATCCTCCTCCCTGATAGCTTATCTTTTTAACTGCAGAGAGCACCTGCTGGTCTGTTAATTGAAACGAAAGCAGGAGCCTATAGTAATGTGCTAATGCAAATTGGTTTATGCTCTCTCTTTTTTTCCAAGGCCTCTTGACATAAATAAGCTTTAATTATTTTACAGTAAACTGCCTGTAAGCCACTTTTCTGCAGAATTTTAGCAATTACAACATGCGTTTACTTGTTTTTAGATGAAGTCTGTTGGGTATCATTCACTTGCTAAGTAAGGTTTTTTTGTAACAGGTCCTCTAGGATAACTTACCATTTAATATTTTTGCAAACCTCATTGCAATATGTAATTTTCCAGATTTGTTTTGTAGTTTTCACCATTGTTAGTTACTGAGATCCTACCATGAATAGACAACTGTTATGAAAATGTTATATACACTGTCTCATTTACACTGTCACAACAATCGTCTGAAAAGACATTCATATCATTTGTGGAAGAGGAAACTGGGTCTCAAAGATTTGACTCAATTTGCCCTCACTATATACCTAGTGGCAAAACTGATAGAAATCTAGAGGTGCCTAGTCTTTTCCATTATTTTGCTTAAGTTCAATATCCTTGCCTTACAAACCAAGAATCAGATTAAAAATATTGCCTTTAAACCCAAGAAAAAATTGTAATCTAAAAACGTGCATTAATTTTAAACAGCACTTAAATTTGCTATAACTGGGCCCTCCCTGGTGGCACAGCGGGTTAAAGCACAGCACTAAGAAGCTAAAGCCACTTCGGCATGAGTTCGATCCCCGCCTGCCCCAGAGGAGATCCACATGGCGTGGCAGACCTCTCCTGACCCACCCGCTGCTCTCCTCAGCAGTGTACTTCGTCGATCTGCCTGTTCTGCATCCTGCTCTGTCTCTGGTGAATCCTCTCACCCTCCACATCTCTGGCCTGTACCCCAGCTCTGTATGAATAAATAAATAAATCTTTTTTAAAAAAAATTTGCTATAACTTACTATGCACCTTATCCCCTAATTTCAAGTTCTGTATATTTTAAGGGATGTCTATTATTTACAAGCAAACTTGTTTAGATGAATACTCTTTAAGTGAGATAATACCACTGATGGATGCTGACTCATTTTTTAATGGAGGGAATGATGTGATATGTTCTCATGCATGGAATGGACTTGACCAATTTCTTCCACCCAAAATGCTTAATATACTATGTATACTTTGAAATGGTATATATATTTATTCTATATCAGTGCTCTACATGGCCCTCCCTGGTGGTGCAGCAGATTAAAGCACAGCATAAGAAGCTTGGGCTACTTCCGCATGAGTTCGAATCCCGCCTGCCCCGGAGGTGACCACATGGCGTGGCAGACCTCTCCTGACACACCCACTGCTCCCCTCAGCAGTGTACTGCGTCGATCTGCCTGTTCTGCTCCCCACTCTGTCTATGGTGAATCCTCTCACCCTCTGCATCTCTGGCCTGTACCCCAGGTCTATATGAATAAATAAATCTTAAAAAAAAATTCTTAAGAAAAAAAAATGATGGAATAAATTCTGGTTAGATTGGTCTCTTAACAGATAAAAAATATTCTTATCCTTACAAAATTGCCAGATAACAAAATACCATTTGTTCTTTGCATATACTACCATAGAAGGAATTATTTTTGTTTCTTTATGCACAGCCCTGACTATTCTTGTAGATGATGATTGTAATTGAAGTGTCACCCTAATTAACAACTAAACTTTGAATAATACTAATGAGAAATGAACACAGCATCAGAGGAAAGATGAGCTCTACAGGTGATAAACCTTCATAGAAGTGACATTTTCCAGTGTAAAGTCACAGTTACTGTGATCTGATCAAAGAAAAAGACCCCCATTGGGTCCAATTATAACTCTAGTTTTGAAAAAAATATTGAGTTATGATATTCATAATCTATGCAGAAAAGCCTTTGCAGTATAGGTCTTCTCCCCATAGCTGTGATCTTTTCAATTTATATCCAAACTCTATAGATTCAGATAAAAGTTTAGAGTCTAATTCATTTAGCCCACAAAGTGCATAACCTGGATTCATTTAAGAGGAAGCTTTCATTAATAAAATATAACCTTAATAAATGTACATTTTTAGGTAACCTCAGATTCAAACAATAAATATATCTGAAGGGTACAAATCAAATCTTGTAACTTAATGCCCTTTATTCTAAAGTTTATAATAGTCATATTTTTAAAATAAATTTCAAATGACTTTAAAGAGAAAACAATGGGAGTGAATGCATATAGTTAATTATTGCCCCAAGAAAAGACTTATGATAGAAGGAATATGATTCCAATGTCACAAAGTACTTTAGAAAAAGTAAATAGCTAGAATTTTTTTTAATTTTTAGCTTAGACAGTAAAAAATAAATAAGTAAATTGCCATGTCGTATCTTTGCACAAGAAAATTCTTCAATATACAGTCAAAAAAACAAAACAAACATGAAACAAGAACAAATAAGGAAGGAAGCACAATGGACTATGAAAGTTTTGGAGAAGGGTAACCTACAGTGGCAATATCTGATAGGGAGAATACTAATGTTAATACAATTAAAATAATAAATTATTTTTAAAGACAATAAAATATGAAATTGACAATTCAGTTCCCCACAAGCCTAGTATTTTTAGAACAATAAATTGCATAGAAAAAGATGGCTGGTCAAACAACTCCTTGTCTTTATTACCCCAGATCCTTGATTGCTTAATTGTTGCTTAAATTATCTGGGACATTAAACACATAGCACAAGTCATTCCTAGCCAAATCATAATTAATGTGATTTTCACTTGTAAAATCTCTCAGTCCATGATAGTTTCCAAGCTCCCTCAGGATCTCTAAAGAAAATAAGGAAATTAAAGTATAATACTTGTTCTAGAACTGTGCTGTTCCAATCCAGAAGCCACGAAGAAACATTTTTAAATGTGACTAGTACAAACTGAGCTGTCCCTGCAGTGTAAGTTACACATTGAATTTTGAAGACTTACTGTCCTCAAAACGTAAAATCTCTGAACAAATTTTATACTGCTCACAAAATAAAATATTTCTTAAATGTTGGGTTAAGTAATAGACATCATTAAAATGAATTTTTTTGCTTTTTTAATATGGCTACTAAAATATTTAAATTTCATATATGGTTCATATTATATTCCTATTGAATAGTGCTATTCTATAAGACCATAATACCCAAACCCATATAGATAAAGGATTCTAAATGAATGTATCAAGAAATATGATTACATTTTCCTTTAGCTCTTTCTATATCATTTCATCCTTTACACCTATTACAAAGATAAGTCAAGAATTTTTCCTTGACTCAGGAAAAATGGTGTGTGAATGTCAGCCGTTCAGAGCTGTCATTGTTTTTTAGAGACCTGAAGAATAGCTGAGTTAAGTGTTTTGATATGCACAAATAAATGCTCACAAACAACCTGTAAAAATGAAACTGTCTTTTAAAGTCCATTTGTGATATAAGGTTATTACTATAATATAAAATGACAGGGTCAACCTTGCTGCTTTCCGGTCCTTTAGCTCATTGGACTAAATTATCACCAGTCACCATGGCCCTGGCAGTGCTAATTAGCTTTTAACAGTATTTATCTATGAAAACAATGATATCTCTTCCTTATTTTTCAATATTTTCTCTTGAAAATCACATTTTTGCTTTAATTTCCCAACTCCTTACTTATTAAGTAAATGTACATCTTCTCATGAAATCCTATGGCTTATATGTATACCTAGCTCTAAATTCAGAAAAACATTTGAAACTTTATGACACAATCCTAATATGTAAAACTAAAAAAAAAATTATCAATAGTGAAAAAGAATAAACTGCTTTCTCTTTTCATCTTTAACAAAGCTAGCTTCAATCTCCAACAGCTAAATACTACTTTAAAACTCATACTTTATTTTATGGTGACAATTTTGAGTCTGTAAATAATCTTTTAGTCTAATTAAGTATTATATTAAATCCCCCAAAAGTTAAACAGTAATCAAAAGTTAAACAGTAATCAAAATTAATATTCGTGCTACAGTGAGAATTCAGGCTGCTATACAAGACATACCGACAAGAGGAATTATAACCTGAGTTTTAGCATAGTGGGAGTTCATTGCAAAATGAATTTTACGCTTGTAGCACTAAAGTAACCATGAATGAAAGGAAGGAGTTACATGAGTAAACACAGCAAAAAAGGTATAAATGAAAAGAATGTAAGTCATGCCTCCACCATCTGAATAATGAAGCAATTATTCCAACTTGGAGTTACAAAGAAGAGTATATAAAAGAGCTGAGTTTGAGAGCAGTGACAGAATTTTCTCTTACTGACTTTCTGGTAAGCCTTTCAAAGAAAAATAAATTAATCATTATACACAGAAATTTTAATTCTATATATAAGGATCACAATAAGAAACTTCAGGTAAAGAACAGAAGGTAAAAATAAATAATATTGGGATAAAGTAAGTATACAACCTAAAAATCCCCTATGCTTTTTTTCAAATATCCTTTTATGTAATATAACTATACTCTAGAAACTATATACATTTAGAAAAGTTAATGCTTTAAATAATCACCTGCTTTAGAAAAAGTTACAAAGTTAAAACTTTTATTCTACCATGAGATGTTATGGTTATCATATGAATCAAATACTACTTCCCAACACTTCCTTAATCCTTCTATGGTTCATTGTTTTAAGAACCAAATTAACCCTTCCCTGTTAACATAATTTTCTAACAAGCTTCTATTGAAGGAAAAAAAAGAGTAACCTTTAACATTTATTAAAATGAAAAACATATTATTACATTATTTCTCTGGATACTTAAATTATCTATCAAATCTAACAGTGTCATGTACAACTGTTTTCCTTTCAGA